CAGTGGAGCTAGTACACAGGTTCTAAAATAGTTTCCTTAACTGACGATCGTACACATTCTGGTAGCTGTATTACCTGAACTACATACCAGATTCCATTGACTCAAAATAAGCCATATTGATTCTATGCTTAGACATGCAGAAAACATTTGATCAGGTGCCACACAACCGGTTATCGATTCAGATAGCTTTCTTTGAAGTCCGGCTCACAGTAATGGGCTGGCTATCATCATACAAGAACGGTCCAGCTAAAATAGTCACCTTAGGCGACTACTGCTCTTCCTCGCGTCCAATTACCAGCGGAGTTAAACAAGGACGTGCGCCCGGTAGATTAGTTCCCTTCATTGTATCAATGATAGCAGTTTGGTTAACAAACATGGCGTGCCGTTTTTATTTGCCGATGATATAAAAATTGTCCACAAGTACCGACGAGTTAAGCTTCCGAATGTACTACCATTCATTCAAGAGGAAATTCATTCGATTGAAACTTGGTGCAACAAAAGGTTGATGACGTTCCAAGCACAAAAGTCAAGCATCATATGTCGCGATTGTTTGATATCCGAAGTATCTATCACATGTAACAGCGAACGCATCTGTGTACAAAGGCCTACTCGTGCACCTTCAAGTTCGCTGAACAGATTACCAGATAGCACGAGCTAGACAATCCTTGGGTAACATAGCTCATTACATGCATACAATCACAGTTATAGTTGAGCTAACTAAAATACTTAATCGTCCCATGCTGGAGTATGGCAGCATAATCTAGAGCAATACGAGGAAATCAGACAGAATATCAATAGAAAGTCTTTAACGGTCGATTACTAAGCAAGCCTTTGGAAAAAGAATACTATCATAAATTCTCAGGAGCGATGCCAGCAACTCCATATCGATCCGATTTGCCTGCAAAGACTAAAAGATAACTTTAGACTGCTGCACAATCAAATTCATAACAATACGCATTGCAATCGATTCACCTTAACATTACAGCATAATTAAACGCAGGACCTAGGTAACAAAGACCTTACCCTTATTAAACCACGACGCAGGAAAAATGTGTGGTTTAACTTTCGTCTCACCATATATGATTCACTGTGGAATCGGCTAACAGTCATCAACAGGTCGTGTGAGACTGTGCAAGCCTTGACCTGGACAACATTGAGCATCCATTCAGTGAAAGCCCAGATAATGTCTAATGGGTGCAGTGCCACCACTTCACGCAAGGTAGTTAGCCCACAATGTCTACAACATACCCAAACTGCAAATTTGCCTCCTACCACCGCATAAGACAAACATATGGGGCAAATACCTTGCCAAAAATGCAGACAAATATAAGAAGATAACTTGATCTTGCACTTGCAAGAGCATGACATCATCTGTAGATATATGAAATGCGGCATGTATTGTCAAGGCTTCTCACTTGATGCGAAATCTACCCATTACTGTTAAAACAGTAAAACAGTGGGTCCCCTTCAGCCATTTCGTTAAGCCAAAGAGAAGACAGGTTGCGATATGTCAATATTTCGATTGTTCTCTTCAGTCGCAAACACAACACAAGCAGAAACAAATAAGGGATGATATACTAGAAAAAAAGCATTACCAATCAAAACGTCACAGTCAAGACCATGGCAACCGAATTGATTGCCTCAAAAGTTTCTGTGCACATAGCACAGGTTGATGAGCCTTAATTAACGACGCCTCACTAATGGCTAGCATTATCGGGTTTTGTTACGTAATGACACTTTGAACGCTGTCTCGGGGTTTACCTGATGACGGGTTGTCATGAGATGCTTGGTGATAGACGATGCCGGGCTCCGATTGATTCTCAGATTCGTCCCATGTTGTTTCGTAATCACTTATCCCAACCATTTTGGCACGTGTTAAGCTACCCTATGAGCTAACTGACGGTTGGTTCTGCCTATGTAAATGTTACCGCAAGCGCAGGTGAACTGATAAACAACGTGAGAGATCGAACTACCCGACGAGATGCTCTGACGGTTATGAAGAACAAGTGCTCGCGTGGTACGCCTGAGTCGCAACTGGGCTGTCGTGTAGGTTCGCGTTAGGACGGACCGGAGCTAGCGTCCGATGTTATTTGCCACATGGTCCCCATTGAACGGCAAGAACAAATAAGCATTCTTTTTTCCTTTTTCTCAGCCATTACTGTTATTATGATTATCATTATTATTATCATCATGCGGTATATTGTTTCGACCAGAGGCAATACTAACCTGGAGCCTGTTGTGCCACTGGTACTGTGCACCTTACACCGATCACATATTGTGCGCTCGATAGTTTACAGACTGCTCGGACAAGTGTTGGAAATTTGGCACAGGGACACTGACTACCAGTTGGGTCAGAATAGGAAGCAATGGCAACTCTTTCCGACAAAAGATCTGTTAAAGGGGTGCTGAGAACGAAGGCTCAAACACCTCATCCTAGATTGACCAGCTTCAGTCAGGTGTGCGGTTGATGACCCCTAGCACTGACACTCTTATCCCTGTCTGCCTTCCCTTAACACTACTATGTCAACCTACTCGGAAGCATGGTTGGCGGCATCCGATTTCGGATTTGCCTGTCACTGTGGCCAGACACAGGACGCCTGCGCCTACAGAGGGACCATGGGTGGCTTACGCTGCACCACCCACCCACATATCCAGTGTAAACCCGAAGGAATAAGATCGGGAGGCGTGTGTATGGAAGCCACGTTTCATCAACGGAGCCGGCCCGCACTCATTCACAGAGAAACACAAGCACGCTGTATTTGGGGAATCAAGTGCACACAAGGCGGTGGCTGGACCGTAGTCCGCTCCACACTGAGTGCATGGAACCACTCTTCGAGCCTAGCACGGCCACAAGAACCGTGCACCCCGTCCCCTCCAGCAACGATCAACTGTCTCCTGGAGCCAGTATGGACGAGGTAGTGGGTAATAGGCAGGTAGGCACCTTGTCAACATGCACATCAAGCGCAGCCACATGGGGGATATCAAGCAACAGCCAATCACTTGAAACGACGAAATAAAACAAATACAATAATGCATACAGATACGGTGGCATAACTCTAAGCTAAATAAGCATATGAAGTAAGTTGGTTAGCAACAAATCCGCGATAACGAAAAAATGTCCACAAGTTAGTTAAAAATCCTACAAAACGCAACAGAGTTACGGAAGATAAGCGCAATTAATGTAAGCAACGTGGCTAGTTAATAGAACATTATTCAGGTAGGCAGAACAAAGCAAATAAAGTGGAATGAAATTTAGCCAGCTTAAAAAGACCTAGTTTAAGTGTAAGTTGGTTTAGCCGTCCCCATAGACGCATACATCCAGGGTGTCTCATTGGCTAATGTCCCATGACCAATCAGAGTGTCACTGATACTGTGCGCATGTAGACACGCAGGGAGAGTGAATTGATGCGCGTGTAAAATTGAATGAACAACAGGTGATTTCGATTTTTTAACAACAACTTATTAGCGCCATGCGTGACGATGCTGTAAAAAGGTATTAGTGAAATTTGACACTTGGCGCCAGTCTCCATGACATAATTTCTTCAAGCAACTTATAGACTCTGTTCTGCGGGTTACCTAGAAAAATAAGGTTAGAATTTCATTGCAGTTTGCGAACATAAAAAATTCTACGGAACCAATCAAACCCAAGATATATGAAACTCCGCAATGGACTCAAGTGGAAACCAGCACTCCTCAGGTAACACATATGTTCCATACATGTTCCAAGAAGTTGACCGAAGAAAATGGACTTACAGCGACGAGTAGTGCCGTCTTTATAAGCAATGCTTCCACTCTAAATTGCGTGTATGATATCTTTCAAGACTACCGAATGACTACCCCCTCCGAGCGCACAAGTCCATGATATATGCTCCAGGTTGTGAGTAAATGACACCCATAAGCAGCAAAAATGAAAGACTCGAAATACACATCACACAAACTGGTGTCAAAAGAAGATAACCGAACCGTGAAGAAAAGACTGCAGCAAACGTTAGAGTACGAGTTCTGATTGCAAGCAGCACAGTCCAGCAACTAGTACGTAATAAGGAGAAGAGGAAACGGTGTTCATAGGGGAGACAACGAGCCGAAGTAAGACAGAAAATAAAGAAGGTGAGCACATGTCAGCGAGTGCCCCGCAACTGTTACCCTGAGATTGTAAACATGCAATGTTCGAATGTAGTTGAAGGTAAAGATCAGAGATCGCTATGGAGATTCAATAAGAAAGATAACCGCTTTCATCAGTTTTTCGGTTATGAGGTTGGTAATCAGATGTCAGTGAAAGCAGCCGTGACCGGGAAACGAGGGCATATATCTTCAAAGCAACGCAGCCGCTGGTGGCACATACACAGCTAAAGGTTCCAGCTACCAATTATTACAAACAGCTATGTGAATGCTGCGAGGAACGGCAATTGACCAAGCGGGTAACGGGAAAGTTTGTATGTGCAACGGGTTGGCGACAACTGGCCCAAAATGACCGTCGACGAATCAAAGGGTAGACTGCTTCGCAGACGGTCACATGTTTCACCTGCGACGAGCGCAAATCAAAGAGGAACCAATGACAGGAAAACAGCGCATTATATAGCAAAAGAAAGAATTATCAAGAACATTGGCGGATAAACAGATTTCAAACAGTGATATGAGCCAGCTGAAACAACACTGGTAAAATGTGCACCAACTAAGCAGGAGTGGACCGTTTTAAACTAATGATCACAGCAAACCAAAAGATGGATCAGATAAACATGCCGACATACAAACAGAGGTATAGGAGAAAATAGAACATGGTTGAATTTTCATAGTCGCATAGGCCAAATGAGTACAGAATGTCTAGCGGGGGCATGCATGAAGCACTAGCAAGCCGATTCATCACGCTCAAAGTCGCAAACATGCCTATTTCACTACTTAAAGGTGAGACGATCCGTCGGAAAATGGGAAAATTAAGTTACTCAGCAAGTTTTGTGGTTAAAGTAACAATGCGTAAAAAAGTGTGGTACAAAAGTAATCACCTGCAATAAAGCGGATGCAAGTTTTTCGTACTGTTGGACGTAGGCCGGTAGGGTCAGTGGTCCATAGATTGTAGACGCACCCTCGTATCTTTGAAGCTGAGAGGGGATAAAAATGAGAGGAATACCGTATTTACTTTGTAACTGGAGCGTGAGTATTGAAGTCATCTGGTTAGAAGTGATCAACGCTGCAGCAATTGTGTCGCAATACAAGTTAATGAGATAGCGGTAAGACAAAACAGCAAAAGGTGATATTTAAAGTCCAGTTTGTATTAGTTGAGATTTCGGTCATGGTTGGAGGGGGTGAAGGAGAGTTAGTAAGGAACAAAAAAGCCCACAGCACAAACGCCAATGAAGTCGGCTCTCCGCCATGGTAACAAATGTCCCCAACCGGAAACCTCGTTCAGACAGCAACAGGAGAGTCCGGTGGGAACAACCGATGCCAGGGTCGGGGTACGAGTTTTCACTCATCTTGAACAAGACATCGGCTGGTCTCTCCGATACCTCAATTCACCCATCCCCGGTTGTGCAAATAACGCATATGCCAGAAGTCGGTGTGAAGGTTTGAGCAACACATAGTCCGGTCATCAGAAGTTGGTGCGTGAAATAACAGTACTGAGGGTGCACATATTCTCCCGCAAAGGATAGCGAAGGCGCTCATTTCAAGAGCGGTGTCCGAACAATATGTGAGCTAAACTGCAAAGGTACTGATGGTCGGACACAACCAATTAACAGTTATGGTCGTCGACATTCAAACAGGTGGCTAATGACGTGTACTCATGAGTAGAGGATTTTCGATGTTATTGATTGTGAGTTGGTCACAGCAGGTTGCAAATCAGATAGTTCTCCGCAGGCCCGAAAAAGCACTATACTGCAGTTTGGACTTGTTGGGTCGTGATGCAAAGCGATCCAAATATCACAGCAGATCATCTGCTAATCAAGCAGCCAAGAAAAAACTAGGATATGCATAGTGGGCATTCTAGAGGGACTCAGCAAAAAAGATATTCCATAAGCAATAATCGATGAAAGACACGTTTGTTTAATCTAAGTGAAGCGTAAAATTCATGCGCACCATCCTAACAAAGGAGATCGAATAAATGTTGATGATTGCCTAGCTTAAAGCAAAATCCGTCTGTGAGTGATGCATTAAAAAAGATAGAAACCAAACGTGGGCCTCGTAAATAAGTATGTGCGTGAATCTATCATGTCTAATATTGACTGCAGGCGTTGGGAATCGAAAAAGGTTGATCGGCGTGTATGGCGCAATCTAATCACGAAGGTAGTTGTCACGGTGCAAGAGAAAGCCCTAGTACATCAGAGAAAAACCGACAATTGCGGAAGCGACAGGCGCCGATGGGTTGTACTCCATCGACAGCGAGCGCATAGTGCTGTAGCACATGCGGTCGCGAGTGCCTGAGTCAGGCAGGCCTAGTGAGCCATGAGCAAGGCCACTCGAGGCCAACACCGAAACGACGACGGGTCCTGCAGAGAAGGTGGGCAGAAACGGCGCAGCGTTTGTAGATACGCCGCATTCGAGTTACTAACCGTGTGTTAGCGTGCTTAGTGACTTTATAGTAGGTGATCGGCTTGCTGTTCTGTTAATACTTAGTTTGTTATGTCATTTTAATGTGTAACTGAATAAGCTTCTACTTATTTACACACGTCGCTTAAATTAAAAGTGGTTAATTTCTTTAATTTTATTCGCATCTGTTGCATATGTATTTTCGAGATTTTTCGCCAGCTTGAATTTATCGCGGATATGCTGATAATGCATTTGTCACATACGCTAATTTAGTGAAGAGCTAAGTCGGCATATCCGTAAGTGTTCTTGGTATGATTCTATTTGATATCGTCATTTCAAGTGATTGGCTGTTGCTTGACTTCCCCGGTGTGGCTGCGCTTGATGTGCAGGTTGACAGGGTGCCTACCTGTCTATCACCCACCACCTCGTCTATACTGGATCTAGGAGAGAGGTGGTCGTTGCTGGGGTGGGGACAGTCCTCGTAACAGAGTTAAAGGGTCGATGTATGCACATGGTTTGTCTGTGGAACGGGCTACGGACTAATCACCATCTTTTGTGTGATTGATTCCCCAGATACAGCGTGCTTGTGTTTGCCTGTGAAGGGGTGTGAGCCGGTTCCGTTGATGAAATGTGGCTCTCATCCATATGCCTTTCGGTCTTATTCCTTCAGGTTCATACTGGATATGGGGTGTGTGAATTGAGCTGGAACTGGGGATGAAACTTATTGTAATACAATCCTAAGAAAACAAAAAGAAATGGATGTAATGAGGAACATTATAGTGTTGCTCACCCCAACACTGGCACCCGAAGACCGCGGTTTCGTCCTGGTTGGGACTCATCAGTTCGAGATAGCCTGAGTTGGGCCGGAACTAAGAGTCTAGTGGCTCATGGTTGAACACCATTAGCACTATGCCACTGAGATCCACGAGCAACGCTTGGTCCAGCGAGAACGAATGCAAAGTTGGACTTGGAGGCTCCGCTGGTGGTTGGGCTGCTACAAGCAACCTCTATTGAGACCTCGGTTCACTTGAGGTGGACCTCGGTCATTCCGATCACAAAGACCGTAAGTAAAATGGAAACATTATAGTGTTGCTCACCCCAACACTGGCACCCGAAGACCGCGGTTTCGTCCTGGTTGGGACTCATCAGTTCCGGCCCAACTCAGGCTATCTCGAACTGATGAGTCCCAACCAGGACGAAACCGCGGTCTTCGGGTGCCAGTGTTGGGGTGAGCAACATTATAATGTTTCCATTTTACTTACGGTCTTTGTGATCGGAATGACCGAGGTCCACCTCAAGTGAACCGAGGTCTCAATAGAGGTTGCTTGTAGCAGCCCAACCACCAGCGGAGCCTCCAAGTCCAACTTTGGATGTAATGAGGTTTGAGCAAACGGCCGAGCCTGGTCATCCGACAGCCTAACCGCGGATTATGAAACGCAGTAGATCCGCCCGAGCGAGGAAACCTCAAGCGACTGGACGCTGGATCACCGCGATGGATCGGTAGCCAATCACGTGAAAGGAAGCTAACATTGAGTAATGGGGTTTGAGTGATTGGCCGAGTCTGGTCGGCTCGAGAGACTAACCGCGGATCATAGAACACAACAGATTCACCCGAACGAGGATACCTCACGCGACTGGACGGTGAGCAACCACGTGAAAGAAAATCAATACTGTAGCACGGCAAATATGGCAATAGCACGTTACGTGTATCGAAAAGCCGAAAGCACCGATTGGTCAGCTAAAAGATGGGTAAGCATTGACGACGTGAAATCGATATAATCAACGGATCGTATGCGTATCAGCCGAGGATCAGTGGAGCAAGGAAATGCGACCAATCTAGTACCAGCCATAGAACACAGGCGACACCGAGACACAGTCCAGCGATAGAGTGGACGATGGGGCAACCACGACCCAATGGAACAGAAAAAAGAGGACGCAGCCAATGGGACGAACCAGATGACAGGCTGCGTAGTGAAATAATGCGAAAGAAAACAGTATTTTTCTATAAATACGAGAGGCAACTGGCAATAAACGATTCTGTTGACCGCCACCGAGACTTCGTTTTTGATTGCCATCGCGTCCTACAACACTGAGAGCTGGCCACAAAAGCCTCAAGTTCGAGTTCGCCACATTCGCTGAATTCGAGCATTGGAGTGAATTGCCAAAACTGTCTTGTACGATGGCACATAAGTCTCCTTCGCTAGTCATATGTTGTAAAACGTGCTGCCCCAAAAGGTGTGTTGACGAAGCTGTTGCACACCGTCAGCAGGTGGCACTTTGCAGGGTTCAATGGGAGCTGGTTTCTTTCTGGCCATTTTTTAATCCGAGTCAGATCTTCCCGGAGGTAGACACGGTCGGATGCTGAGCGAATTGCTCTCCATAGTTTAGCATCGTCTGTAAATGTTTACATCGAAGATAGAATGTCTGCTGGAAGGTCATTAATGTAGACTAAAAACAGTAGCGGGCCGAGGACGGATCCTTGTGGTACACCACTGGATACGCATAAGCTTCGGAGTGAGTGCTGGCTATTCTTACCTTGATGCTTCTGTCCTGTAAGTAAGCATCCAACCACGTGAGCAGTGAGAAGTTGATACCGTAAGCAGCAAGCTTTTGGAAAAGAACGAAGTGAATGACCCTGTCGAATGTCTTAGAAAAATCTAAGTAAAGCGCATGTATGAGGACTCCTTCACGAGCTGCTCTAGTCCATGAATTCCGGACAAGGAGCAGGTGGGGTGAGGTAGATCGTCTGCGTCTGAAACCATGTTGGACATCGGAAATTATTTGCAGATTTCGAAATTTCGCGTCAGTTCATCTGAGATTACCGATTACGTCACTTTGGATAAAACAGATAGGAGAGTAGTAGGTCGGTAGTTGGCAGGATCCGATCTCTTATCTCCTTTGTATAGTGGAGTGATAACTCCGCCTTTCCTACTCCGATGGGAGTGTATGAGAGTCATCAGACTCTGGAGAAACACTGCAAGATGTACTGATATGGTGGGAGTAAGAGGTTTAAGTACCTTTGGGTAGATCTTGTCGATTCCCGAGGCATTGTTTTCCCGGAGAGACTAATTTGTTCACGACAGCCTCTGGAGTAAAGGTGACACTGGATAAGCCGACAGCATTTGTTGGGAGTTGATAGAGCAAAGGTTCCATGGTATTTGTAGCCACAGAGCCAAACTGCAGAAGTAGAGCGTTCGCAGTATCCACTGACCGTCTTGAATGGTGTTATTCCACATACATGCATAGCGGTTTATTGTCACTCACAAACTTGAGTGCCAGGTCCTTCTACCATTCGTGACGTGCAGTAGTTGCTGATTGCATTGTAATCCTGTCATGAGGTATCACATGGACTTAGCGTATGATGCTCCCAAATCTCATCTCTTCTGTTGATCCATTTACGTGGTATGCTTCGGATGCAACGGTTGGTCCGGCGTGATACTCGGAATGGCACAACTTTTGAAGCTGCTTGTATGACCCAGCTAACTTTGCGTTTCAATTCATTCTATGCGTTTTTCACCGAACTGTGAGTCTGTAGACCGCTTGGAATAGCCCGTAATAGTTCGTTGGGTATCGCGTT